TTTTTGAGAGAATTTTATGAACAAATTTTTAGCTTTACACAGATGATGATTTCGTTTAGTAATACTTTTTTGGATCCACGACCTCTAGTGAGGAGGGGGATGGATTTCCCTAGTTAATTAATTTAGTGTCATTGTGCTCTTATTTTTTAAAGTACAGTAAAAACATTTTTTAACTCTACACAAGAAATAATTCTGTTTAGCATTTCTTTTCGAGTTCGATAAGCATTAGCGAGGAGGAAGATGGATTTTTCAAGTTAAAAAAAATTCTCTTTCTTTGCTATGTTTGTATTTAAAAATAAGTGTGTTAAAATAATTTGATTATACGAGATTTTAGATTAAATGGAAAAAAAGTTTGTCTAACTTACAATTATAATAAATTAATCTAGAATTAATACAATATATAACAGTTAAAACACATTATTAATTCAAGCATATCGTGTTAAATGGTAACATCGGAAGAATGGTTTTAGGACTTCGTAAGAGAAACTTTTTAATTTGACTTATTTTTTAAGCATAGGGTGAAAGTGAGGTTTTCAAAAGCGCTAATGAATTTTTTTCAGCTCCCGCGAACTGTATGAGCCGTTGCAGCATTCATTGTACAAGAAAAGAACCATTAATATTCATAAAAAAATAATATTTCTCTTTACGCCAGGAAAAATTATCACGCTTTTTATAGTTTCTAATAAACTGGTATAATTAATCTTCCTCCGACCATGCAATTTTCTTATACTTTTAGTTTGGATATGAAAACGAATTTTCTGAAGAGATTTTAACATTAAAGTATATATCTTTTTTAAAACTCTTATTAAAAAATAATGTAATTCTTTTTAAAAACTCTTATTAAAAAATAATGTAATATTGGTTTCTTATATTACCTTAACTAATTAAACAAAAAGTTTTGATTCTTAAGAAAAATTAATTTTCTTAAACAAATTTCAATACTTTTACATAATTTTGTATTACTATGCTCGAATGTTTTTAAAAATATAAAATTTTAAAATCAGAAATTTTCGATACAAAATATCTTTTGTAAACTTGATTACTTTTTCAGCGAAACAGAAAGAGAATTAAATTTGATTCTTTTTAATATTACGTTTTATTGTTTATTGTTTTTGTTATTCTTAGGATGGAAATAATATTTATCTTAGAGCACCTGTCTCATGTAATTAAGAAATTATTAGTTATTTATAGAAAATTTCAATTGGAAAGCAATGGATCTCTTGAATCAAATATTGAGAAAAACTAGCCTTCGTGGGGGATGCTTTAATGGAATCTATTTTCATTCGATGAAACTAAAAAACCTCCCACTAGTAGCCCGACTGTAAGGGGATTCTTACCCATGGTTCGTCTTCCACTGAGGATATTTTTGGTCTCTGAGGTCGGTGAGAGCCTATAGCATATTTCAAACTGACCACCCATCGCAGGGATTCGAGCGTGGGTTACCACTTTCAGAGGCGAGAGTTCTATCCCTTGTGCCACAATATCTTCACGTTGTGAAATGAAGTAACGGCTTTACATTGTGGAAATTTAATGAATAATATCATTGTGAAATATTCATATTTTGTCATAATTATCTATGTTTTGTCGGATCTAATTGCCTGTGTCACATTAGCGATTGGTATTTCTAAAGATTTGTCATAGTTGTCTCTTTTTCGTTTAAGCCGAATACTTTTTGTATAAGTTAACCAATTAGTAATTTTATTTAAGTTATGAATAATAAATGGCTTATAAAAATTTGAATAGAGAATAATTATTTGCTTACTTATATCTTTAATTATTTGAGAAAAAATTTATTATTATATTTTCTACTACAAAATGGCCTCATATAATTTTAAAGCAAACATAATTTTCAATCTTGCTTTATCCTTTTCTTGGTTGTTCAATTTACAGATTAACCTTTGACTAGCAAAATTCCACATCTTTGTCAAGGCTAATTTATATAATTAAATAACCTTTTATTTCAAAAAAAATTTAATAAATTTTGATACGATATCTTATCAAAAAAAGTCGATGAACTAAAAAACTTTTTACGCTTCTCTATTTGTTACGTATTTAGAAAACTTCATTTATGTCGTCCATATTTCGTTAGCGTAATGTAAATGTAAACCAACAATCAACAATGTAAACCAAACGACAATGTAACCAAGCGACAAAGTTAACCAAACTAATCAACTGAAATATTCACATATGAAAGATTTTTCAGAATAAAGGATATTTTCTGAATAAAGGATATTTTCTGAATAAAGGATATTTTCTGAATAAAGGAAATATGTCTGAACAATTTTGGTTTTAGTAATTCTTAGTAAAACAAAGCCAATTTAAGTTTTAAATAGGCTATTGATGATTGAGCAAAATTTTCAAAAATTTTGCCCACGGAAAATATACCTCGTGCGAACTCATGAAATCATTTTTAGAGTTTTCATATGGAACAAAACAAATTTACTTTCGAAAAAGCGCTTTACGATTATGTGTTAGCTATTTAATTTTTGTACATGTTTTAGAAATATTTTACATATCATATGTTATTTGACATCGAACCGATATTTCAAAAGATTTACTTTGTTTTTGTTAAAAAATATTTTTTTTTTGACAAAAACAAAGTAAATCTTTTGAAATAGTTATGTTCGATTGCAAATTCTATAAAAAATCTATAAAATATTCTATAAGAATCATTTTATGCCGAAAGAAAACTATTAAATGTAAAGTTATTCACGGTATTTTTACTAGACCAAACGTAGCGTGCGAATTCGTTATTTGCGCATGCGCATAATTTAAAGAAACTTTTTATAAAAACAGAAGTCTATCGAACAAAATTTTTTAATAGTATTTGACATAAAAAAAATGCAAACACAATTCATTAATCACTTTTTCATGTTCTCTCACATTTTTCAAAAGCATTTTACACTAAATTCTTCAAAGAAGAAATTATGTAAGATTGTTTTTAAACTTAATCTGCGAACTAAGCTATCCACGTTTGCGCTTACTTTCAAGAAAAATTTCCTACTAGTCTACGCGATGCGAATCGGCACTTATCAGCTTTTTTTTCGGATCAAAAATTTCGAAACTTCTGATCAAAATCCACGAAAAGATTAATTTTAATGTGCATATAATTTTCTTGCTCAAAAATTTTATAATAAGGAATATAAATACTTATGCTATCGATAACTGAAATTGATTTCGAATTTGTCTATGTCTTTTTACTACTGCGCTGTTATTGCCGTTATTTTTTAGAAAAACTCAAAACACGCTCAGAAATAGAAAAGTAATTCCAACAACTTTATATTTGGAGATTTTCGCTTCTTTACAGCTATTTGATTTCAGTTTTTTACCCAAAAATGGTTCAATTTTAAGAGCTGTTTCATTTTAAAAAATATCCAAAATATTACTTTATAATCATTATTCGTATATTAGAAAGAAATGTATTTGAGATAGTTTTTCTTTAATATAGAAATCCTTAGATAATTAATTTAAAGTCAAATTCTTTACATTAGAAAAATCACGGAAAAAAGCGTCTATTTTTACAGTGCTTACTTTTACAGAGTATGAAAGAAAATATTCAAAACGTTTTGAAAGAATATAACTTGAACTTTTTTTTAAATTTGAATATTCTAACTTTTGAAACATTTAAAACGATACTAACTATAAACAGACACGCAGTGTTAGAGAAAAGGAGAAAGAGTTTATATGACATATGAAAGACAATAATGACAAAAATGGGGAATCTAAGGAAACCGAAATTATCATAGAATTACAAATAATTATAAGCCTTTTCTTTTAATACTTTATACCAGAAATAAAAACTATTTTTTAAGCAAATTTAAACTATTTAATTAACCACTATTTAGTGAAATAATTTGAAATATATATATATATATATATATATTAGGTTTTAAAAAAAATTAAATGTAATGAACGAGTAGCACGTAAAATTCCTTTGAAGTGTTAAATATTTTTATAAATTCCGAAAGATAGCAAAAGAGAAATTTTTTTTTTAAACTCGAAGTCATGAAACTTAAAAAAAAAAGGACAGTTAACTAATCCTTATCAAATCTCGCGCGAACTTGGCGAATTTTAAAACGAATTTGGCGCGATAAAAGCGTCTGCTGGTTTTGATCTTAACAGAATGGGAAGAGAGAGAGACGAAGATAAATTGCCAACTGCTCCTGTTCGTTTTAGAATGGACTACTGATTTTTTTTTTGTTATTTTTTTTCTTTTTATCTTTGTTTGTCAAGCTTTGTATGTCTTCTCACGCTTTTTCCTTGTATAATAAGGAAATTCCTTGTTTATTTAT